ACTGTACAGGGAGGTTAGACAAAACAGGTTTAGAGAATTGAGGTGCTAGGGACATAGCCGTACGTCTGGTCTTGCTTCTGGTGACTTCTGAGTCTTAACCTATTATCAATATGCATGACAAACGTAATAAATTCGTTAAGACTCTTAGGTAATTCTTTAGTGGCTATCTCATCTAGTATAGTCTCTGAGAGACCCTTTTTGAATGCTGAGATTAACCCATTGTTAGTCCAGTCTACCTCGGAAGCTAAGGTACGGAATTCAATAGCATCCGAGATAGACCGGTTACCTTGTCTGATGTGCATTAGGGCAGTGGAGGCGTCATCCTCTCTACCCAATGGCTCAAACGTGAGCTTGAATTCGGCATGGAATTCCTGGTAATTATGAGCTATGCTCCGATTACTCTCCCACAACGGATTAGCCCATGCAAGAGCCTTGCCCTTTAATTGATTTATTAGATAACCAATTCTTGCTCTGTCCGTGGGGAATGACCCTGGTGAGGCCTCAAAATGGTACTCCACCTGATTAAGAAAGCCCCTGCATTCCTGGATATTGCCATCAAACTGTAGGGATGGTGATAAGGAGATGCAAGGAGTCCTATTAACAGTGGGTGGAGGTACACAGGGTAGAGGTGCTATAGGAGGAGACGCTGCAGGCTGCAGATGTTCCGTTCTAGCGAGAAGCGTACTTAAAGCCTGAGTGAATTGATCCATGCGGTGATCATTCTCCTCTAATTTCCTCTTGCAAGCAGCTATGTGCTGACACAGTTCTACAGGATCTATGGCCGTGTCGTAATGTCAGGATTACTGTTTGATCCAGCACGTAGAACTGTACAGCACGGATGACAAATAAGTAACGTATTACCGGTCCTTAGACTGGCCGGATTTAACGTACAAAGAATAGTCAAAAATACTAGCCGAGGTCAGGGAACACAGAAAGGGACACAGCGATGAGGAAAGCCAGGAGTCAGGATAACAGAATATAGAGAAGTCAATAAACAAAGCCAAAGTCAAAAACCAGGTAGAAAACTATAAACAGGAACGCGCTCTCAGACAACCACAAGGGAAACCACGACAGGGCACTGAGCAGGCTGAGAACTAGGCCTAAATACCCCTCCTTTAGTTCTGATAGGCTGTAACCGGCCTTTGACCCCAAAGTCAGTTACCAGGTTTCATTTGCATAATAGCTGCTCAGCATTAACCCTTCTGTGGATTAGGTTGCTGCTCGGCACAACTTTTCCTGTATGGACAGTAAATGTCATTAATCACTTTTCTATAAGCGGATGAATACATGACACCAGGTTTCATTTGCAGAATTACTGCTCAGCATTAACCCTTCTGTGGATTAGGTTGCTGCTCGGCACAACTTTTCCTGTGTGGACAGTAAATGTCATTAACCACATTTCTATAAGCGGATGAATACGTGACAGATTCTGAGGCTTCAGAATCACATGCACAGGCTGACTCACGACCTAGCAAATGCCACTGGAAGGGAGAAAAGGGGAACGATAATCCGGGCAAAGGCAAGGCACCAACCAAACGCCACAAGCCAGCCGCACCTACCCCCGCCCACTACTCCTCGAATGAGGGGGAAGAACACACACATTCCATGGCCGTGTTGGATGAATGGCAGGCCGCGGATTCCGATTTGCAGGTAGATGACTGGGGTCGGACACTGGCTCCCGTACTGGATTCTTACGAGGCACTTTCTTGGACAACATCCAACTGCCGGATGACCTCGCACCTGCCCAAGAAGAAGGGGAAACCATCCTGGACCCCATGGGGCAATGTCTCTTCGACCCTCGTAATATCCGGCACCCGTGCTCTGGGGACTGGACTCCCCCCGAACACCTCTCTAAATGTATGCACCTGTGGCTCCGCAAACCGCTGGACAAAATGGTGCGCAACCGCCTACTCTCTGAATGCCCTCGCCCTTAGCTTCCCGACCACGTGGCTCAAACTCCGGAGCTCGACCAGGTCATGACCACCTTCATGCCTCGTGGTGGCCGTGACCCCCGGAGAGGTGTGGAGAAGGGATTCCACAGAGTTCAGGACAAACTGCTGGACTCCATTGGCCCACTTTCCCACATCATGTATTTGGCGAACGACACATTTACAAGGGCTGACCAGTTTGATGCCTGCATGGTAAAGGAGTGGGCGCATGACATAAGAGAATGGGCACAAAGGTGCTTCTGTGGAAGCTGGTGGAATTGGGCACCAAGGAGTTGGGATCGCTGGCACAGGGCAAATTGTTCGGGGAAGCCTTCCTGAAAGAACTGAACAAACATGTTAATATATTCACGTCCTTTAATAAGGCTCAGACTTCTATGAAACGCGTCTTCAGGGGCTACCCCAGTCGGGGTGTTTTTTGGACAGGCTGGCCGCCAAAGGGGCTGAGCAGCCAGCCGGTTTTGGCCCTCTGGCCCCCGCTCACATAGACCTCAACCCTTCTACCCAGAAGTGGGCTTCAGGCAACCCTTCTCCTACACCAGAGGAGCCGACCGAGACAGAGGACCACGTGGCAGTGGCAAAGCACACTTCCCCACAGGTAAGCAATCTTGTGTATCAAGTACCACTTACCCCATATACTGCAGGTCATATCGCTCTGTCTTTTCAGAACTGGACAGCCATCTCCGCGGACGCATGGATCCTCCAGACGGTTCGGGGCTACATCATCGATTTCGTAGACCCCCCAATCCAGACCGTCCCTCCGCGCCCCATACAGTGCTCCACAGAGGACCACCAACTCATCGACGGCGAGCTACGAGAGCCCAAATTGAAAGGAGCGATCGAACCCGCTCACGACCAAAGGGGTTTCTTCGGCAACATATTTCTGGTGAAAAAGAAATCCGGAGATTTCCGGCCCGTCATAAATCTGAGGAGGCTCAACGCCTATGTAATGTACAGACATTTCAAGATGGAAGGCATTCACCTTCTGAGAGACCTCCTCCAAGACGGGGACTGGTTCACAAGACTGGACCTCAAGGACGCTTATTTGTCAGTACCCGTCCATCTCTCCTGCCGCAATTCCTCAGGTTCCGATGGCAAGGCCGACCCTGGCAGTTCACATGCCTCCCCTTTGGCCTCAGCTCAGCCCTGTGGTGCTTCACCAAGCTGCTGAAGCCAGTAGTTGCACATCTATGAGCACACGCAATTCGGTGCATTATCTACCTGGACGACCTGCTACTGTTTTGCTCCGACAGGTCCAGACTGACTCAACACACGCTATACCACACAATTCCTGACATCCCTAGGCTTTGTGGTGACGGTACAATTCTTGGGCTTCGAGATAGACTCCAAGTCCAGCACACTACGGCTACCGACATCAAAGATCGCAGTCATCAGAAAGGAACTACGCAGAGTCATTCGCTGCCGTACCATTCCACTCTGCAACCTGGCTCAGATAGTGGACCTGCTGTCCGCGTCTATCCAGGCAATCTTCCCGGGTCCGCTCCACTACAGAGCGATGCAATGGCTGAAGGCCTCCTTTCTTCACCACAACCCTTCCTACGACCAAACCATTCCGGTAATGGAGGCGGTCAAGGAAGAACTCGGATGGTGGTTGAACAGCATGGAGGCTTGGAACGGCCAGGCCATCTTCGGGAACACACCCGACATAGTCCTGGAATCGGACGCCAGCCTCTGGGGCTGGGGCGCCACGGACAAAGGCAGATCGACAGGAGGCATCTGGACTTCTCAAGAAATCGACCTTCACATAAACTGTCTAGAACTCCTGGCGGGATCTTCGCGATCCGCAGCCTAGCGAGGGACAGGACGGACTGCTGCATTCTCCTCCGGATGGACAACATCTCAGCTGTCCACTACATCAACCGCTTGGGAGGAGCACAGTCCCGACTCCTCTCAGAGATTAAGAAGGAGATCTTCGACTTTTGCCTACCCCGAAAAATCGCTCTCATGGCGGAATATCTCCCGGGAGAGACGAACCTGACCGCAGACTGGTTCTTGCGTCACTGGTGGGACAGCATCGACTGGAGACTGGACCCACAGATCTTCCATCGCTTCTCGGTCAGGAGAGGTCCCCTCCACCTGGACCTGTTCGTGTCACGCAACAACAAATAGACAACCAAATACTTCAGCTGGCTCCCAGACCCAGAGAGCAGGGCGGCAGATGCGTTTCTCCAACCATGGCCATCCACGGGAGCGTATGCTTTTCCCCCATTCACCATGATAGCGAGGATGATTTAGTACTTGAAGACTCAATGCGGGTCTCTTCTCCTCATCGCCCCCCTATGGTGGGGCCAACCCTCGTTCCCAGATCTCCTAGCGTCATCCTACATGGATCCCCTCCTCATAACATCTTATCCAAAGCTCCTCACGGATCCGAAAGGGAACCCTCACCCTCTCATCCTGGAAGACCGTCTCGCCTTGGTGGCTTGGACTCTTTCAGGGGTGCCTGGCAGACCGACGAATTATCGCAAATGGCTAGAGATCTCATATGGGATTCGTGGGCACCAGGAACCAGACAATGTTACCTATCAGCTTGGAATTCCTGGTCCTCTTGGTGCAGTGAACGGAACCTGTGAACCCTTTACTGCACCTATAACGGCCATCCTGAATTTTCTTTCCTATCTTTTTTCCGCAGGTCAGTCCTACCGGTCCCTCAATGTTGTGCGCTCCGCGATTTCGGCGGCCCACATACCAGTCCTGGGGATACCCGTTGGGAAAGACCCACTGAGATGCCGACTCCTGAGGGGCATCCGATTACAGAGACCTCTGAGACCCAAATACTCCCGCTTATGGGACGTTGAAGTTGTCCTACAGTTTTTGAGGGACTGGCCAGATAACGGCAGACTCTCCCTCCAACAGCTATCAGCCAAACTGACGTTTCTGCTTTGCTTAGTCTCGTTCTGCCGGGTATCCATTTCTGCTCAGATTAATGCTTCTACATTAGCCTGTGCAGCACAGAGGGAATGGGCTGCTAAGGACTCTCATTTAAATTTAAACCATTGAAAATGGTTTAACCCCCTACCAAGTACATCTTAATTATCAAATGCCATACTGTATGGACTCACATATCTGACCACCCTGCCTGGGACCTGGAGGGATGCCCCATCAATAATAACCCAGGGGACTGCAGGGGGAGAGTCACTTTCCCACCCCAAGTAGCTCCGTATGTTGGAAACATGTCAAGTAGACTTCCTGTGGGACCCGGACTGGGTGCCACGGAATACTATTCCTATGTTGATGTTATTCACATGTACCCTAATTAACCTAAGCCACTGCATGGCCAGTGAGGTTCCTCCCAACCTGATTACTTGTGAATCTTGGTCAGCCGATACATGATACTTTTTATATGGTTTTCTGTTTATCTGATATGCCTGCCTTGATGTTCTCTTTTGGAAATACAAAAATAAAGATTGTCAAAAAAAAAATGGTTTAACATTTAATGGAAGGATGGAGCCAGGGAACTCCAGGCACTATAACTACTTCAATGTGATGAGGCAGTTACAGTGTCTACAGTGTCCCATTAAGTGAGAATTGTCATAAACTCAAAGAGAATTCAAAATAAATATCCCATTTTAGGTCGGAAGAGCCAAACTAAAAATATATCTGTCACGGAGAATTTGACAGATTCACACTTTCATGAATAACTGTGACTGTGCAGGGAATGTAAACCTGTAAAATGAGGAACATCTATGATGTTGCAAAAGCTGCAGGTGGCCTTCACGTACTTAGATTCCTACATATGGTGGTCTAGTGTTGTAGTTTCAAAATACAGCTTCACACCTGCTCTCCTTCGAACCACACGGTATATGTGAATAATGGAATATCACAATTCATATATTTCAATGCAGAACAATATGCAGGAGTCAGGAAAGATATATAACTCTGTCACAAACTACCAGGGACAAGAGACTGTAAAAGTTATGTTACTTGAGGGTAAGAGGGCTAGATAATTACCTGAAAGATTTCCTCTGTATGGCTTTGCCCTTTGTATCATACATTAAAGGGTGACTCTAAAAACCACTACAACTGTGCATAGCTGCAAAGCTGATGGTTCATAGAGAGGGTTAGGACTACTGCAGTTCCAAGACAGCCTCTCACAGCTGTCAATCAAGTAACTGGAATGCCCATCTCTAGCTAATCAATGCCACTTTTGTTCAACTTGTCTATTCCGATTGGTGCACATATCTCAGTGAACTGGGCTCTATGTAAGGAGCTAGCTGCTGCCGTATTGGTACTATCAGTTTACAGGGCCATTCCACTTATTGTGTGTAATGAGAGAAAATGCACTTGGTGAAGAAAAATGCTTTTCCCATAAACCTCTGCTGAAAGGTTTAAAAAATAAGAGTCCCTTATTGATTAGAAGTAAAACTGCCTGTAGCTGTAGTCCAAGCAAACAGTTCTAAACAATGATACATTAAAAGATATGTATGTTTTTATTTTCATGCATTTTTTTACATTTTAATGTATTATCAATGTAATGTTTTAAAATTATATAAAAGGTATTTAACATTTCCAAACTGTTAACAGGTTTGAACGTACGTGCTTCCAGTTGCAATCAGCAGTTTATTGTATTCCATTCGGAATCCATCCTTGAAAACCACCATCTTATTCTTCGTGTCCACACTGATGACCTGAAATCATTTCTGCAGAATGTGAATTCAAAGAACTCTTCAAAAATATTTGTAAACATGAACCATGGACATATGCCAGCAATGTATTTATTCTGGTGGCAGTGAACATTATTAGAGGTCATTGTTCACTAAATTAAAAACACTGAATTTTAGTAAAACTGAAAGTGATTTGCATAATTTAAGCAAAATAGTGCTCTTTTGGAATAATTCTCCATCTGATTTATATGGCTGGTTTAGGATAAATTTAGCATTTACTTTTCAGTTCACCACAAATCAGTGCTTACTGATCAAACTCTACTTATATTGGGAGTAAGAATCTGTATGTGTCCTGCTGCCAAATTTAAATTCTAGGCACAAATGTTAAAGGGACACAATAGTCACCAAAACAACTTTAGCTTAATGAAGCACTTTTTGTGCATAGATCATGCACCTGCATTCTCACCACTCAAACTCACTGCAATTCAGGAGTTAAAACCACTTTTGTTTCTGTCCATGTAGCCCTGGCTACATAAACAAAGTGTTTTAATTCCTAAATGGCAGAGAATTGAGCAGTAAGACTGGAGGGGCATGATCTATACACCAAAACTGCTTCATTAAAGGGACTCTAGTTCCAGGAAAACAAAGCCATTTTCCTAGCACTATAGAATCCTACAATGCCCCTCCCTCAATGTCCCTCTGCGCTGGGTCAGGCTCTGTCCACGCTTCTCCCCCCCCAATATCAGCCGGCAATGGAGACCTAATGCGCATGTGTGACAATGGCCATGCTCGCATTAGGATTTATCCATAGGAAATCATTATTCAATTCTTGTCTATGGGAAAAATCTGACGCTGGAGGTCCTCATAAAGAGCGTGAGGATGTCCAGCGTCAGATACCGGACTATAGTCTGTTTCAATTCAGGAAGTCCCTCTAGTGGCTGTCTGCTAGACAGCCACTAGAGGTGGAGTTAACCCTGAATAGTAATTATTGCAATTTCTCAGAAAATGCAATATTTACCACTAGTTAATAAATAACTTACATAGAGCGGGTACAAACTATATAGGTTCTTAAAGGAATAACTCTTAATCATGTCCTTTTACAAAAACATTTGGGATTTATTAGTACATATTTGAAAAAAGGGTTTAGGATGTCTATTGGTCAAAACATGTGAATAATAAAGGAATACAAATAAAGTCCAGGGCACTAGCCAGTAACCAATAGCTTGTTGGAAAGATATTAATAGTTTGTTTGTGTCCTGCTCTGATATTTTGTGAATAGGAGTGGAATTATGGAGGATGGTCACATTGTATTCTTTGTTTTATATAAACATGTATTTATGTTTTCATCAGACCCTTTAGTCACAAAATAAATTATATAAACTTTATACATTAATTACTCAAATTCCTTACCTGTGTTTCTGTCAGAACTTCAATGTCATACGTGTGAAAGAACTCCTTAGAGCGAAGCAAAATCTGATCAGCCTGAGAATCCATAGACTAAAATATATAAATTAATATAGGATTAGGACACAAGCAGCTTTATTTCATCAAGCAGGTGTCTGGGTCAGTTTTACTGTAAGGGCTTTCAGCTGACCCTAAAAATTACACATAACTTTAACTAGAACTTAGTTCTAAAGAGACAGCTGTAAATGTTATACTTTTAACTTTGCCAACATTAGCTAACCCTAGCACAGTTACAATGCAGTACTTAACACCCTCTCCTCCCTCCCCTGCACAAGGTGATCAAGAAGGTTATTTTTTAAGTGGATCTGTAGTCTACGAATGTTTGGCTTTGGGGTAGGAAATGTACTAGTATTTATAGTTTACAAATTTCAATATGAATGGACACACTCTTTCCATCAAGGAGGCTGGTTCTTGACCTTTGGATCTTCACCCAAAATGAGACACGGTGACAGGGTTCAGTGTAACATAGTAAGTTGTTAACTTTACAACAGTCACACTTCAAGTAAAACACAGAACTTCACTGAAAGATGGAGTTGACATGCATGTATGCATGAATTAAATATATGAATTTTAAATATAAATAATAAATAAAATGATGCTGATCTTCGATGCTTCCGGGTTTGCTGCAATTCTTTACGGTACTGTGGCATTTATCAGTGAACTCACAGCTCCATTCACAGTTTTGTGAAAGGTTTTATAGACACAACTGTGAATCAACAGTTAATATTTCAATATGATAATTCAAGTTTGTAAAATAAATATTATTTTTGTTCACCTATTAATGTTATATGAAAAATCAGTCAGTTAGTAATAACAAACTCAAAATACACATATAAATGTCATTAAACAAGTACTTACTTTACTTAATTTGGATCGATCATAGGGCAAATACTTTTCTGAGGTGCACATTACAATCCTGTCAGAGAATCCCTCCTGCCTTAGAGTTTCGGCACATACTAAACCAGCAGGTCCTGGGCGGAGATAAAACATTCAAAATAACTCTAAATTCTGATCCTCAATGATATATGTGGGTAAATAGGTAGTTATATCAAAATACCAGTTTTCTATCGGTCAGTGTGCTATAAGTCATCATAATGTTCCCAAAAAAAAAAGTGAACCAGTGAATGAAATCCACTAGAAGACATCAGTAGTATCAGGTACTATCAACTTATTGATGTTGGCCTAATGAACTCTACTGATCTAGGTGAAATAGTTAATAGTATTGAATTGGTTTACCTGCTCCAATGATCAGAATGTTGGTAATCGCAGTGCTATAGTTACTGAGAGCTAGACATTTTGCCATAACTTTGGTCCTTCTCTGTGATTGAAGAGCCTGAAAACCAAATCATAATGTAACATTTCACATGAAATACTATTGAAAGATATTATAAAAAATATATTAAATAGGTAATAGTTTGAAGTCACATGTGACTTGAAAATACTGAGAGATACATAAATAAGAACATGACAAAACAAAATCTAATATCACCACTCACCTGTTTACTTGCTCTTATATAAACTCGCTCCTTCTCGATCTTCACCTACAATATAAATATTATAGAAACTAATATTGACATAAATCGGGATGGAACACGCACTAGTGTTCTTATAACAAAAATAATAATTATAGAATAGTAGAATGTAGCTCACATATTAATTAACAACAGCTAATTAATGTATTTACCATATAACTCTGGTAACAGGTATCAGAATTTGTATTTGTCCTCCGGGAGGCATAACCACCTAACAAAGCTAGTTCGCTCACTCTTCCTCCCAAAGCCGTTCCAGTTCCAGATACAACTCTCCAGAAATAGACTGGGAATCCGAGGAAGTGGTACATTCAGCAGCTTCCACTGAGCGAGGGAAGCTAAGCAATGTTTAGATGGCCAGAGTAAGTCTCCTAGGAAAGACTCTCCCATCAAAATTATTTCACTCCAGATGGGCTATGGAGCACGATTCTGAGGTTAGAGATTTCGCTAAACTAGCCTTCAGATCCCCCTTGGTTAAGGAGGATGACCTTCTCCTCAGGAACCACATTGGTATCCCGGACATTCAGGCTTTAATTAGCCCAGAGGTAGATCCTGCTCTGTTATCTATCACAGGGAGCAGCGTATCCTCTGATCCCACAGACCAGACTTTTCGCAATATACAGTTCAAAATTGCTGATGCTGTGGGCCCAATATTACTGATGCTGGATAAGGCAGAAAAAGAAGGCAATGCTCAGAAACCTTCCGCTTCATCTCTGTTGGCATCTAAGATGGCTCTTTTAAAAGCGTCTGGCAGGGCAGTGCTAATTATTGGCCAATCCTTTAATTACATATCAAACATCCGCAGATCCCGCTGACTCCATGCAGCAGGTCTGTCCGACATAGCCCTCAAATCGCAAGCTCTCAGGCGGTGGCAGAGGAGCGCATTACAGAGGCGGTTCAGCTTCCAAAAGAAAACCCATGCAATCAAGTAAGTGTGCCTCTTCATATGCCACTAAACTGGAAGGATATTTCCTCAGACAAATGGGTTCTAAAGATTTTTTTAAAGGGGTTTACAACTCCCCCTTTTAAGGTTCCCAGTCCAGAAATTTGCACCCCACAGAGAAGTGAACCCAGTGCTAGATGCCTCCCTTTCCTTAGCTTAAAGTCAAGGGAAGATAGAATTGGCAGACATGTCTATTACAGGATGGGTCAGCCCATTGTTCCCAATCCCAAAATCAGACGGTTCCTGGAGACCGGTCCTAAACGTGAGGTCTCTGAACGCTTTCATTAAATGGAAAAGGTTTAGGATGGAGGGTTTATCAGATCTTCCAGGCTTATTACAGAAATCTTTTTTCTGCATAAAGTTAGACCTAAAAGATGCCTTCCATTCAGTCCCCATAGCCAAGAAACACAGGTGTTGGAGGCAGTGGAAAGGAAAAGTGTGGCAGTGGACCGTTATGGTGTTTGGCCTATCCAACACACCATACACATTCTCCAGAATTATGAAATCAGTGATAGCTCATGTCAGACTAAAAGGTTTGATGTGTCTGTACTATCTAGACGACATCAAGCTCATGCACCCAGATGGGGAAGCCCTTGCTTCTCAAAGGGATTACCTTGCTTCCCTTTTACAAAACCTAGGATTTGTAGTAAATTTACAGAAATCAGTCCTAATTCCCACTCAAAGCATCCTCTTTCTGGGTTTCATACTGAACAGCAGGACTATGTCTCTAGGAATCCCTTAAGACAAATAGGACAAATTACTGGTACATCTGAACTCATCTCTCAAGCCCCAGAGTGGGTCCTTGAGAGACCTAGCAAAGATTATCGGAGAAATTAATAGCTTTAACACCAGCATACAACAATTCCCCTTACTTTGCAGAAGAAGTCAGCTGTTTTTAGGGAATTGACTAAGACAGGGCGGGAATCAAAATTTGTTCTCCCCAAGAAGGTCAGAGAAGAATTAAAGTCCATTCTGGAGTTAGAAATTCCACTTCCTCGTCCCCTGTTAGAGCAGCCTGTGGCAGTCACTCCGACGTCGGTAAAAGTCCAATCGGACAACAGGACAGCGAGCACAAGATCTTTGTTTAGAGGCTCTAGATCTTTGGTCTTGGGCCTTAGCAAGCAATGTTCAGGTTTTCGCAGAACATGTTCCGGGAAAGGCAAACGAGCTTGCAGACTCTCTCTCTCGCCAAAGTTTGTCCCTGGCAACGATTCAATTAAAGATTGCTCTTTTCCAATATATATGGATAGAAAGCAATTTTGGCCAGAGACCGGTAGATCTGTTTGCATCCCAAACATCTGCACAAACTCCCAGGTTCGTCTCCCGGACCTGGACAAAGGGAGCTTGGAAAATGGATGCAATGTCTTTCCAATGGACGGATGTTCCAGCCCCTTATGCTTTCCCACCTCCATCTTTACTGATGAAAGTGCTGGAGAAGATCCGCAGGGACAGGGTGCAGAGCTTAGTTCTCGTTTATCCAGTATGGACCTCCAGACCCTGGTATCCCTTGATCCATCAGTTAGTCAAGGGAACCAAGATCCCATTGGGCATGACAGTGGACTGCTTTCAGGGAACCAGCGATCTTCTGCTCAAGCTCCCGCAGCTGATGTGGATCGCAGCCCTGATAGGCTGTTAACACATCCCCTTTTATCGGATCAGGTCTTGGATATTATTAACTCATCTTTAAGACGTAGAACTAAGGTAAGATATAGAAAGATGATCGAGGAATTCAAAGAATGGGAGGTTTCTTTTCTGTCTAACACACAGGGATTTGATACCGTTCCATTGGCTTTCGAATTTCTTACCCTTAAGTTCCATTCTGGTTTATCTGTCAGCTCAATCAAGACCTATGGATCTGCTTTAAACTTCCTGATCCCCAACCTTACTCAGGATGCCCTGTATTTGAGATTACTAAAAGGGTTATCCGTCTGCCGCCCATATACCCCACGCTACACATCTACTTGGGTTGTAGATGTCTTATTAAATTTCCTAAAGTCTTTGGATAATACCAAAATTGATTTAAGATGGACTGCTATTAAGTTGGCTTCTCTGCTGTCCTTGGCCCTGGCAGCTAGAGGAGCAAAGTTAACTCAAATCCATATTTCAGATCCTTGGTTGTCCAAGACCGCGGGAGGTTTCCATATTATACTAAAAGGCAGACAAAAAAAATCACATTTTTCTCTTGGTCCAAGATCCTTCTGAACCAGGCTTATGTTTAGTCAGTTTGTTACAATCGTACCTTCAACTTTCTGCTGTATTTAGAAATTATATCAGTCAATTATTCATTACATCCAGGAATCCCTTTCGTCCAGCCAAGGTTAATTCAAGGCTGGATACTTTCTGCCATGTCTTCAACTGGTACTGATGTTTCCGTATACAAAAGCCATTCAATTAGGGGAGCCTCGGCTACTAAAGCAGCTGGAAAGGGCCTTCCTCTCCCTACTATCTTGAAAGCTGCGAGATGGTTGTCCAGTAAAATCTTTGATAGATTTTACTGGAAGCCATAAGAAGTTGAACGCCTTCAGTTTCTTAGGACCACCACCAGGTGTGTGCTATTCTACCCACTAGCTTTGCTAGGTGGTTATGCCTCCCGGAGGACAAATCAGAGTTTGCAGGAATCTATGATGAGCATAACCACCTAGCAATAGCGCCCGTCCCACCCTCCTCCAGGTTTTCTCTGCTGGTGGTAGTTTGTTTTTCTAAAACATAAGGTTATCTGGTTCTTATTCAGCCTTTTGATAACTGTTCTCTGTTTTGTTTTTTACAGACTATAGCCATACTCTAAGACAAGACCAACAAACCAAGGATCCACCTAAGTAGGATAATTGGATGCTAGTAGTCTTGTCAGTTTGATATTCTCATGGACTCCCTGCATAAAGAATCTGTTTGCTGGGACTTGTTACAACATTTCTTTTCTCTTTATTGAACTTATTTTGTTGCAATTTATGATGAATGGTACCAGTGTTCATTTGATACTTTCCTTTGCTATACATTGTTGCCTTGTTTTTCAGCTCAGCTGTTTTATACAAAGTTTCAAGTCTATCTTATATGTCTTCATGATTCATTAAACATTTTTCTTGTTCCCCTGAACTATTGGCAACTTGAATTGTTTTATTTTGTGTTTAGATGTTTAATTATATTCCTGTACACTGTGGGAAATATTTATCCTTAGTACTTCGTGGGATGTGCTAACCATCCGCAGTTTCCCAATTTTAAAAATCTGAGGCAATCAGAAGAACAGTATGAGACTTGTTCTCTATCACTCTATCTCAAATGACAAAAATAGTCACAATGTATTCTGTCTATACAATTATTTATAAAAAATAGTACTTATACATTTAGCGTAGAATACCTGAAATTTTGGCAGACCATCTAAGCCTGGGAAATCTTCGATGTCCCCTGTTGCTATGTTAAAGCACGCACCATGCCATGGGCACCGTACTCTACCTTTAGACAACACACCTGTATAGTAAAAACATACACAATAAGCACACAGAATCTTGGAAGTATACAGAAGTAACATACAGGCACCATTAGTCTGGCATACTATACTGCAGCCTCAGCAACCATGCCAGGAATAAGGCCTGGTACTACACTGATTAAGTGCAACTCGATGGAGTCTACTTCACTGACCTTCTACAGGAGAGCATCTGAGGAAGCAAACCCCCTGTACCACCACCACTGTACAATAACCTAAACCTGGGGTGTGTGGCTTGAAAGGTACTGTGCCCATGCTCTTCTTCTCCCAAGGTGGCTCGCTACTCTACGGGCCTTTATAGGGAACCACAGAATCTTGCTTCCTAATTGGGAATCACCAAGTAACCTACCTGTGCCAGGGACTGTTTCTTATTTTTCCAGCTTCACTAGTAGTCCAGACGCTGAGGCATATGTCAAGTTGGCCTCCTGCCAAAAGTTTTGCTTTATTGTATCTGCAGATTTTGATTTGATTTGTTTCTATATATCCCATAGGGTTCGCACGAATATATGTAAAGCCTACCTACTTCCAACATGTAATACATGAACTTTCCGTTGATATGCTGACGTTTACTGGCACTACTTTTCTCCTGTAAACTGCTTACATCTCAATAAAACTACAAAAAACATCTAAAAAAAATTACAAAAAGAAAGACCTAACTTCATAAAGAAGAGCATTAGTAAAAAGCATTTAATACCTCCATGTCAGTGTTTATACATTCAAATCATTGCTTCAGAATAAACCTTTATACACAGCACCCATTATGTAAACTGAAATTAAACTCATAAATAAGGTTCAATAAAGATCAAAACTTTCATATATACACTACACGCTCATTGAAATCAATGACAGTTATCTCCGATTATATGTGACAGAAAAAGTGAGATTATGATATGTTATCCTTATGTCGACAGTTGATTTACAAGGGACACCCTTTAAACCTTATGTAGAAACTACGGACTAAAAGATAAGAATTATATTATTGTGATGCACAATGTCATGAAGTCAACCTATTGCTACACCGAGGTCCACAATTACAATGTATGAAAGCGTAAAGCAATATGAAATCACTTGACACTTATTTATACTGTTATATGTCATTGTAACCAAGAGTAGTATCAGCTTACTGGAGAAATTCTGGGAAACAGAAGCACATTTCTTAAAATATGCTTTAAAAAAAAACAAGCTGGCACAACTAGCTGAAATTGAGAAATGATGTAATACAGTGATTGTCACACATTATCTCTTTAAAATTATTCACAATTTGTCCAGACCTTTCACTAGTGGAGCTCCATAGTGGGGACACTTGTGTCCCATTGCGTAGTACTCCCCATTCTGTTTAATTAGTAAGGCTTTACCACATCCCATGTCAACCTCACGCATCCTGGCAGGAAAAAAAAAAATACAAAAAGTAGCTCAGTAAATTGCCATGGCTAAATATTTAGCACCAGCATGAAAAACATTTTTACGTTATCAATTATAACATGCCAATCGTATGTTCGTTCACAAATATAGATATACAAACAGAAACCATAACCTATCCTCCCTGATATAATTCTGTATTTCAGTAGTAGTTAAATTTTTTTTTTTTTTTGAAAACCTTTTTACTTGGACACACTCTTTCATACACACCTTAATCCGGCTCTGCAGGATACTGACCCAGTACGATGACATTTGAGGGCCACCAACAAAATAATGTAATAATTAGTGTATTTGATAAGTCACTTACTAGTATTAAAATGGCCTACTTTGTTACAACACAAATATACCAGTAATAATGTTCATTCCCTAGCCTAATGAAATTCAGCTACATGCTTTTAACCATTGCATTGTTGGTAGCTCATCATAGCTAAAGTAAGGAGAAATTAAAATACCATATCAGATACAAAATAAGTTATTAAACAGACAATAGATTTAACATTAAATAGATAAACATTTCTATTGCTTAACCCCTTAAGGACGCAGCTTCAGAAGCTGGACATACCCTTAAGGACTCAAGCTATTTTTGCATTTTTTGCTGTTTGTGTTCAACTGCAATTTGCATCGCTCTCATTTATTGAATCAACACATATTATATATCGTTTTTTAAAGGACAAGATGGGCTTTACTTTGATGTGACTTATACATATATAAAATCTAATTTATTATTAAAAAACATTAAAAAGAAAAAAAAAGAAAAAATATATATATTTTTCACAGTTTTGGCAATAATAGTGTGTGTATAATATGTCCAGCTTAGGAAAAGTAATTCAAAATAAATTCATTTAGGTTTCTTGTTTTTCAAAGTGCATAATATGTAAAGGATTTCAGCTTATTTTAAAAGTTACAGGTCACAAAATACAAGGAGTAATATAAAATTTAAATGTGAAAAATTTTTAGAAGTTGGTATGTTTGACTTGTAAGTTTGACAGCTGTCACAGAAAACAAAATTGCTACACAAAAGTATATATTTAAATAAAGAAGACATCACAGGCTATTTAAGGGTATTTTGACACTATTTACATAGCCTTTTTCCCACCAATCTCTGCTACATATTGTAGTAAAATTGTGTTTTTTCTGTTTTTTGAAATACACACATGTAACAAGGTTTTTTAAATGTGTATTTTGTAAAGCTGCTGTGTGCTATTCCTGGTCAAAATCCCATTTTGTGTTCAGCAACATCTGCTGAGTACAACAATACCCCCATCGTATGTCTTTGCCACTATTTTGGGAAGCTACAATGAAATATAAGAGGCCAGGCTATTTCAGTTTCTACAGTTAGAAAATTCAAAGATGGATTTAATGGACCTATGTCTTATTTTGGGGCATTATAGTAGTTTGGTTGTTCAAATGACCACACAAAGGCCTTCCATTCGTGAAAGTAGACACTCCCTGGTATCTCATATGGCATATATTTTGCCTTAACGGTTCACCATTTATTCACCATTATATGTCAAAATGTGTGTTAAAAAATATTTTCCGCATTTTTCCTTAAGCATTACATTTGTGCTGGGCATTTTGTATATTTGATATGTTCCACTATGGTCAAACACCCCTAATTATGCTCAGCTTAATCTTCTGAGTAAAACAATACCCCCAATGTATGTCTTTGACACTATTTGGTGACGCTACAGTGCCATAAAGGAGACCTGACCATTTCAGTTTTTAGAGTAGAATTTTCAGAGACGAATTTGCAGGGCTTATATTTCAGTTTGGGCCATCATAGCAGTTTGACTGTTTCAAAAACCGCAAAAAGGCCTACCATTTGTGAAAGTAGACACTCCAGGGTATCTCATATGGCATATATTGTGCCTTTACATGTCGCCATTTTTTCGCCATTATATGTCAACGTTTATGGTAAAAAAATATTTTTTGCATTTTTTCCTTAAGCATTACATTTGTGCTGGGCATTTTGTATATTTGATATGTTCCACTATGATCAAACACCCCTAATTATGCTCAGCTAAGTCTTCTGAGAAAAACAATACCCCCAATGTATGTGTTTGACACTATTTGGTGACACTACAGTGCCATAAAGGAGACATGACCATTTCAGTTTTTAGAGTAGAATTTTGAGAGACGGATTTGCAGGGCTTATGTTTCAGTTTGGGCCATCATAGCAGTTTGACTGTTTCAAAAACCGCAAAAAGGCCTACCATTTGTGAAAGTAGACATTCCAGAGTATCTCACATGGCATATATTGTGCCTTAACATGTCGCCATTTTTTCACCATGATATGTCAAAGGTTGTGGTAAAAAAATATTTTTTGCATTTTTAACTTATGCGTTACATTTGTGCTGGGCATTTTGTATATTTGATATGTTCCAATATGATCAAACACCCCTAATTATGCTGAGCTATCTCCTGTGAGAAAAACGATACCCCCAATGTATGCCTTTAGTCGTATTTCCTGATGCTACACTTCCATATAGGAGACCTGACCATTTCAGTTTTTACAGAATTTTATAGGTTTATGACTCATTTTGGGTTCTAATAGCAGGTTGCTTATTCAAACTTTCCCCACAAAGGCCTACCATTTTTTAAAGTAGACACCCCAGGGTATTTCAAAAGGCCCATTTTGAACCTTAGGGTGGAATCATTTTTTCGCTAGTGAGTACCAAGTCTAGTAGTAGTAAGCATTTTCTCTGCCTTTTTGACACACACACTGAGATTTTACTGCATAGTTTACAATCCTTAGGTGTGCTACGGCAGTATAACGCTTCATATGTCACTCAGCTATGTCGTCTGAGTACAGCAATACCCCTGTGTGTACCTTTCCCAGGTATATGTGGATGTTGGAGGGGCAAATTTGAGACTCAGCAATTTCAGGTCTGTTTCAAACTTTGAATTTTTACGCTGGGTCCATGTCCCATTTTGGGGCATTTGACAGGTTGAGAATTCAAACTTCCCCCACAAAGGCCTACCATTTTTTAAAGAAGACACCCCAGGGTATTTCAAAAGGCCCATTTTGAACCTTAGGGTGGGATCATTTTTTCACTAGTGAGTACCAAGTCTAGTAGTAGTAAGCATTTTCTCTGCCTTTTTGACACATACTTTGAGATTTTACTGCATAGTTTACAATCCTTAGGTGTGCTACGGCAATATAACACTTCATATGTCACTCAGCTATGTCGTCTGAGTACAGCAATACCCCTGTGTGTACCTTTCCCAGGTATATGTGGATGTTGGAGGGGCAAATTTGAGACTCGGCAATTTCAGGTCTGTTTCAAACTTTGAATTTTTACGCTGGGTCCATGTCCCATTTTGGGGCATTTGACAGGTTGAGAATTCAAACTTCCCCCACAAAGGCCTACCATTTTTTAAAGAAGACACCCCAGGGTATTTCAAAAGGCCCATTTTGAACCTTAGGGTGGGATCATTTTTTCGCTAGTGAGTACCAAGTCTAGTAGTAGTAAGCATTTTCTCTGCCTTTTTGACACATACTTTGAGATTTTACTGCATAGTTTACAATCCTTAGGTGTGCTACGGCAGTATAACGCTTCATATGTCACTCAGCTATGTCGTCTGAGTACAGCAATACCCCTGTGTGTACCTTTCTCAGGTATATGTGGATGTTGAAGGGGCAAATTTGAGACTCTGCCATTTCAGGTTTGTTTCAAACTTTGAATTTGCATGCTGGGTCCATGTCCCATTTTGGGTCAAACTCTGAGGCACTGTCTGTCACCTCTGAATCCGCTGTCAGAATTCTCTAACTGTACTTCCAAAGCATTTTAAACTTTTTACACAAGAACTTTAACAAAACAATGTTATTTTATTTTTTTGTTGTTTTTTTTAATTTGTATTTCTACCCCTAGCATACGCACTAAACTCCCCAATTTCCCAGGAACTATCATCCACACCAATTAACTAAATAAAAGGTAAAAAAAAAATTGTATTGAGAATTTATTGGCTCTGAGTATGAAATAATTTAAAACAGTTCCCAATACAAAGGCCAGGCTGAGAGGGACAATCAGGGCAGTAGAAACTGGTCTCCGTTCGAATGCCTCTCTGGTAACACAGCCTGCACCTTTTCTGGGGGGTCTTTTTTTTGGGGGTTGGTGGTATCCGAAAGCAGAAGTGACCTGTCTGAATATCTCTGCTGCTAGGCCCTGCTGATGGCTCCCCACTGTGGCACTCAGTGAGCAGCACAGAAATGAGCTGAAACTGAAATGTAAGAAAAGTACATTTCAGCTGAGGATTTGCCTTTTTGAAAAGGATGAATGCATTGTGAGTAGCCATTTGCATTAAATAAATGCCCACTTTTTTATACCAGGCCCTGGTCTTTCTCATTATCAGATATGGCTGCAGCAGTTGATCAGACAGGTCAACTCCTCCCATGTGTTTATTGTATTGCTTAATGCAGACAGGCAGCCATCTTGTTTCCTGTCTGCCACGAACTGCGACCCTGCGTGTGTGTTCACTGTGCATGGTAGTCAGTATGAACACCTCCTTTTTGTCTCTGTATTTCAGAGCCAGCAGTTCGTCCTGGCATAGAGCAGCCGTTTCCCCCTTTTTAATTTTTTTCTCTGCCAGAGCCTTGGGGAAGCCAGTGCGTGTCTTGCGGATAGTGCCGCAGACCACAGTCTCAAAACAATATAGCATTTTTTGGAGGGGTATGCTATTGTAGTAATTATCAAGGTAGAGGTGGTACCCCTTGTTCAGTAGCGGGTTCATTAGATCCCAAACTATTTTTCCGCTAGTCCCAACTACATCAGGGCAACCTGGGGGATCCCGGTGGCTATCTTTACCTTCATATATTCCGAAGGTATAAACATACCCACTGCTACTTTCACATAACTTGTATAGCTCGATGCCATACCGGAATCTTTTGGCTGGGATGTATTGCTTAAACCCCAGTCTACCCTTGTATTTCATTAGGGACTCGTCAATACATATATTCTTTTGGGGAGTATAAATTATTCCAAATTCTTTATTAAAATGGTTAATTAGGGGGCGGATTTTATAGAGTTTGTCATACTGCGGATGATCTTTGGGGTGGCACTTCGAATTATCATTGAAGTGCAGAAAATGCAGTACTGTTTCGTATCTGGGCCTACTCATGGTCTGAGAGAAAATGGGAGTATTGCATACTGGGTTTTTGGACCAGTACATTCGGATGCTGGGCTTTTTTATAATTCCCATTAGCATGGTTAGTGCCCAGAACTGTTTTAACTCTGGCACACTGGTGGGGTACCAGCTCCCTTTTGTGGCAAGGTGACTTGTTGCATTTTGTGCCAGATACTGCGCTGCATAAATATTTGTTTGTGTAGCTATCTGCCCTAAAAAATCATCCCCAAGGAACAGCTCCATAAAATCCTGGGAGTTATAGCTGGTCACGTCTCCCTGAATACCAGGAGTCGCAGTGAACAGAGGGATGTCGGGGACAAAATTGTTAGGGGGCACCCAGATATCAGCGCCAGGAGTATCGTCACTTTCTTCATCTGTGTCTGGCACAGTCACCCTCTGCACTCTCTGAGGCAGTGTCGGTTGCCTCTGAGTCGGCTGCTAATATATTATATGCCTCCTCGGCACTAAACTTTCTAAGCATGGTGAAAGCTTAAAATTAACTTTAACTAAATAACGTATTTTTTTGTTTTGTTTTTTTAACTTTTTTATACTTTTTTTGTTTTCTGAATTTTTTAAATACTTTTTTTAAATTTTTTTAAAACTCTTAAAAACTTTCTAAAACTTCTAAAAACTTTTTTAAAAATGAACCCCTGTGGGTAAAAACAGGAATCAGATCACCGTGCTTACACCTAGCGAAGCAGAAATGCTTTGACTTAAAATAAACTACTTTTTTTTTCTCTTTTTTCCTTTTTTCACTTTTCTTTATACTTTTATAAACTTTTAATAACTTTTATAAACTTT